ATCACAACCCTTTTGGTGGTGACTTTATGTTTACAGCTGTAAGAACGATGAACGATGGGTGTTGTTCTACAACAGGAGACACAAGGGGAGGACTTCAGTTAAGAAGGATATTAGTTTCCAACGACAGGTTCAAAAATATGGAGCAGTGTTGGTCGATTGGTTGGTTGATGAACTGATTGTTGATTTGCTAACTGTGTTTTGGTTGGTTGGTTCTACGATTTTTTTGAATAGTTAAATGTTGGTTGGTTTGTTGGTCATTTTTTTGGTCAGTTGATCGGATGGTCCTGGTCATACTATTGACTAAGATTATGGCCTTAAACATTTTTCAACTATTATAAAAAAAATTTTTTTAAATATTTAAAAATATTTAAAAATGTAGTTCCTGAAAATCATCACTGAACATGGAGTGTCAGTACATTTAAACTAAAATGATTAAAGACAACAAAGGATGTCTCACTTCAGCACACACCAGACTGGTCGCCTGGAGATACCGTGTAGAATATTGTTTCTGCAGAGTCTCCAACTCTGAGCTGTGATACTGGTGGTTGGGTTGCCATGGTGAAAATGTAAAGGCTGGTGTGCAACGGCACAGTTGGCCAGCACCACATGTGTGAAGGAGACTGAGTGTTGCTCATTGTGTTTGCTATCGATTAGAGTGTCACAGTGAAGACGGCACTGACTTCATGGGTAAAAAATCAGCACAGACCAAACGTCTGTCCTCTTTGTCAAATCTGTGATTTTATATTCCGAGTGGAGATATTTTTTGCAGCCAAACAAACTTTTTTTCTTGATGTATCTCCACAGTACGATCATTTTTACAGTCTCACATGAAGCAAGAGTTCGTATGAAGCAGGTTCAGGCGACACCAAATAATACGTTTCTTAACATTTTCTTCTAATCCGCCATAAAGGTCACACACTAAATTTATAAACTATGCCATGGCACAGCTACATATCTACTTGTGACTTGTTTGTTTTTATCGTACCACGCGCGTTAAATCAAATTTCATTTAAATGTTTTGTGAATAATCTTTTAACTGTTAAAGAACCAAGAGAAGAGAAGTAGCGGGAGGGAAGTTCTGCCCCCGTCGCTAGGTAACTGTCTCTGTGCCCAAAGGCAAAGCCAGGTCTGGTTTCCATGGTAACATCATTGGCGTGAAGGTTGAGTTTTGGTGGCTGTGGTATTTGTGAAGTGAGTGATGTGAACAAAGAGAAGCACTCAGCAGGTTGAGTGTCAGTTCAATTTAAACGTAGGAAGAGAGAGGGCGGCGAGGTGTGGGGGGGGTCACGGCGGGCGTGGAGGGGGGGTAACAGAGCTAATCTCCACACGTGTACCTGAAATTATCCGAATTTGTGCAAGAGCAACTGCTGCAGGGCAGCCAGTCTACAGACGTTACATGTGGCGACAGTTGTTTCTTTAATTCTGTGTTTGCAAGGAAGCCTCTCAGTGAAGGTCATAATAAAAGTTCTAAAAAACAAATGACATTTTAAATTCGTAGGATGTTAAAAAGTTTGACTGTTAGACAGAAGGAGCTAATAATCATCATTACTAAAAGATAGCCCAGATATAACAAGTCTGAAGTGAACTCACTCACTCAAGAAAACTCAAACATAACACTACAGCTAGTGATATAGCCTATAAGGTTTAAATGGGTCAGCAAAAAAATGGATGTACAGAGAAGCCAAGAAACTCCCTGAAGCTAGCTAAAGGATAAGAAAATAGGCACATTTTTAGCATAGAAGACAAACACATGTCAAAATACTGACAGATTTACCAAGAAACATCCGATATGGTCCAAAAGGGAAAACTCAATGTCAGCACAAAAATACCTTAAACATTGATAGAGACATATTTGTAAAAAGTACTGAAAAGTAACAAGCAGTAATTATTAGAAAAACAAAAACAAGAACAACCAAAGCTAAAACACATGTCAGTAGTATTTGTTTTTGTATTATGTCCCTCTATCTCTAGGCTTTTGAGTCTTAATGTCTTTTTTTCACGTGTGCTAATATATTGCATACACTGCTAATACTACAAATGACGCCAGTATGTAGTGGCTATATAATGGCAGGCCAACTCTACTACACATTTGATATGAACTCGCTGGCCAGATATAATTACACCAGGGGCCAGATTTGGCCCGCGGGCCTGAGTTTGACACCTGTGATTCAGAGCATCTGGCTACTCTTTAACATTCAACGTGAGAGGGACGTTGATCGCCGCAACAACTCACTTCAATAAATGAATAAATGCTAAATATAAACATTGAATGTTCCAGAAGAAAAATGTCACCTAGCTGTTTCATTTGTCGAAACTGAGCGACTAAAAATTGTAAAGAGTTGAGTCTTTGCTTCTGACTTAGGGCTAGTCATTTTATCACTGTTGGGTTTTTTTTTTTTTAATTATGTGAATAAACAAACACTGTTTTCATCCAACAAACGCCCGTGTGTTTACACCACAGGTTAATAAATACAGACTTTTCTTCAATGTAAAGCCTAGTATTAGAACTGCCATCTAATATCTGTTCACAACTCTGTACCTCACACACACACACACACACACGTGCACATACACACACACACAGGCACAGGCAGCAGAGACACAGGAGCAAGCAGACAATAGCATGTCTGTGTTCATGAGAATGTGAAGCACAGTGGGGTCTCTATGTATGGACACAGTGTCAGCCTCGTCCCAGAGACAGAGACAGAGACAGAGACAGAGACAGAGAGAGGCAGCGTACTGCATTTTGTTCATAAAGTTTTTAACAGCCTCCTTTCACCATCACAGTAGGAGCAGAACTTCAAATATAAACACCACAATATTCACTTGTCCCTTTTTATTTGTTTAATGCACAGGTTATTTGTTTTCCGTGAGAATAAAAGTCACTGCTCGTTCCTAAAACGTTCACTTTATGAGAAATTCTAAAACAAATAATGACATTTTACCAAAACCTGAAACAACATCATGTTCTATATTTTAAATAGCACTAGAAACAGTAAAAAAAAAGTTTTCACTGCAGTAGCTTGAGGCTAGGCATCTCTATCATGTGTACTGTATATTACATACAGTATATAAATATATCTATATTTATATGTGTGTGTGTGAATGTACTATTTTAGATTAATGATATACTTAATGATTTTTTCATCATCATTAGATACGAGGGATGTTTAGATCTGCTCAGATAGAAATCCTCCAGAATATCCCATACAGATCACAGGAGGCCAGTTGTTGGTGGTGGATATAAAGTGAGGCAGACCAAGTGAAGCCATTGTTTTTCCTTTGTTTTTAGTCCGTGCTCCTGTTATGACTAAATTATGTTCTGTGCTGTTATCCACCACGTGACTTGCACTGAAACTCACATAGTCAGTGGAAAAACACTGACTCGACCAGCCTGACCTCGTGTGTTGGCCAGTGATGGGAGACGCTGCTCATCATCTGTTCTCCAGACCTTGACAACTGCATGGACACACTCCCTGTTTCTGAGTTCCTGTTGGCCAGATAATCTCACAGGTGGAGATGGTACTGAGGTCAACTGCCCCCCCCCCGCCCCCAAACTCATACATGTATACACACACACACACACGTACCCACTTCATTATAAATGCTCTCTGTGAGACCTGTGCCCTGCAGCTTCACTAAAGCTACGATAACAGCTTTCAATTAAACTCTCAATAAAAACTCTTTCAAATGAACAACGTTGTTCATTTCAATTTGTTTTATTCTTTATTCCAAGGTGACTGCTGACAAAATTGCCAAAGCACTCCTTGAAACGTGCACAAAGGGGAGCTGTGGGCCATTGTGTTGCTAAGTGGGGAGCAGTCAGGGCAACCAGGGTTGAGGAGGCTCTCACACACACACACACACACACGCGCACGCACACACAGGTTCACTTTGAGAGAGAGGGTAAAATGCCCTGTCATCACTGTGCTGAGGTTGTGGATCAGACAGACCAAACTGAAATGCCACCATGAGCCCGTCACAGAACAGACAAACAAATCTGACCTTAAATCAGCCTCTGGGACGATCACATTCTAAGTCACATCTGCTGTGGTTTCACTCCCTCCTCACACGCACCACACCACCAGCACCACAGCCTCTTTCTCTCCCTGTTTTAATGTCATGGTTAAAAGAAAATGTTCTTCTTTCAAATGTCGCGGTTGCTTTTAACAGCCTGGTGGATAAATGTGGAATTCTTCTTGGATGTAAACACCTGGTCAGCGGCATCACTCTGTCTCCATACATCCCTGTGACAGAGCTAAAGATGATTAAAGAGTAAAGAAGTTGCTGTTGCACAACCATGCGCGCCACAGTGAAAGCGCACCCTCCAGTGGCAGCTGTGGGTATGGCCTTAGCACGGTTATGTAGGTCAACTCTTTTTGGTGTTTATCTGAGATGAGACTGTTCAGATCAAATGCAGAGAGAGTTTTACACCAAAGACAATCATGCACTGCACCGAGCTGCCTGGATGACAGCGTCAGGAGCCAATCAAAAGAGAGGAAAATATTTTTAGATACATGGGGCCATTGTCAAGGCCCAGCGTCAATATTCACAGATGCAGCGTCAGAACTCCTCTGAACTTTATTAAAAACACTGCACTTCCCACAAAGGAAGGGCTTTGCGACCCTGGTGCTTACTAAAAGAATTGACAGGCCACTAGAGGGGGATGCATATTTTTTCACTGCTCCGTGTGATTGAATTAAAAGTCACAGCTTTGTGAATATTGAACAAAAACAGAAGACGACAGGGAACTGGAGCTGAACTTTAGTGAATGCCTCCGACAGCACTGACTCTGGGGAAGAAGTGTGTGTTTTTATTCTTTTCCCTTCCACTCTGACAGTGTGCTATTGTCATTACTCTGTTTTGCCAACATTTTTAAACAGTGGGAGAGAAGGATAAGAGGCCTGGTTTGAACACAATAAGATCTTAAAAAGGGATGTTTTTCTTCTCAGTATCCAGGTTTACTCCATTCATCCAACACTTTTCTCTGTCTCTAACAGAATATGGCGGAGTACGGCTCTCTGCTCAGCGACCTGTCTGAAAACATCACCAATGAGGACTTGGAGCAGCTCAAGTCAGCCTGCAAGGAGGACATCCCTGAGGACCAGAGCAACAACATCACCTCCTCCAAAGAGTGGTTCAGCTACCTGGAGAAGAACGACAAGTTGGCCCAGGGTAAGGCGGCCAGCGCCACTTCTTGATCTGAACATTCTCACCACAGCGGGATAAAGGCGTATAATAACGGAAACCACCTGTCTCACAGATAACCTGTCCTACATCGAGCACATCTTTGAGATTTCACGGCGACCGGACCTTCTGACGAGGGTGATCGAGTATCGCACCACCGTCCTCAAGATCTCTGAGGACGACGAGATCGACACCAAACTCACGCGCATCCCCTCGGCCAAGAAGTACAAAGGTAGCCACACATGCTCGGTAGAACATCTGCTGAAGCAGGTGTCCCAGAACCACTGAAACAGCAGGGAGCATTGGTGTTCAGAGCGTGTGTTCACACCTCTAGAATGTGGCACAAAATACTAGGCTTTCATACAACATGAATTATTGTTTTGGTTTTTTTTTTTAAGATGAGTCATACAGTTTTCAATGGAAGGTATCTTAGTTGTCTGAGTGCCATCTTGTGGTTAAATATGAAACTGTGCCCACATTATTTCAAAAAGCAACCTCAACTTTGGGTCGCTGAGCTCTCAGAGGTCGACAGAAGGGTCATGAAAACATTTTAATAGCTTTTTGAACCCTTGTATTATTTTTAGCAGGGCATCAGGAAAAGAAATCCTCTTAATCCAGATTAGATCCCACAGAATCAAGGCTGAACAATGAGGCGTTGTTATGAAATCTGAATAATGTTTCAACATCCAAACATTCATAAGACTTTTTTGTCTCTTGTCTTCATCTCTCTTTCTGCCTTTTCCTTTTCAAACTCTAAAACAAAGATATCATCCGTCAGCCTTCTGAAGATGAGATCATCAAATTGGCTCCACCTCCTAAAAAAGTGTGAGCTGCAGACCGCCACCCCCCACCACAGCCAGCCCTGACTTCAACATGATTCCTTCTCTCCTGGCACACTAAAATAAATCATGACCGGCCGTTTTCTGAACCACCTCATCATTTCCCCGCTTCACCGCTGACGTCAGATCCAGTTAACACACACACTGACACACACAGACACACATTCAGACACACACACCAAAAAGTAGAACGCACTATCCTCCTCCCAGCACTAACGCACGCTATGGCGCAGAACCATGCACAGGCAGCCGCCACCTACTGTACCTACAGAAACAACCAATCAGATCATAGAGTCACAGCCTCTTCAGGCTGAGGGAAGATGGGAGGCTGCAGGAAACATAGACAATACAAAAGAAGACGAAGAAGAAGAGGAAGAAGAGGAAGAAGAGGAAGAAATCTGGAAACAGATCAGCAGGTTTGTCTGTACGTGAGAGAAAATGAGTGAGAGGAAGTTTAATTTGAGCGGGTCAGTTTAGCGATGAGGTCTGTCTCATGTTTACCCATGTTTATTTGTGTTTGTTGAAGTCGCAAAAGTTTGATTTTGAAACTGAAAAACCAAGATTCAAAACCAAACAACTAAAAAGGAAATGGCAAAGTTTCACCTTCAGGCTAAATGCTAAATCACACCTCGCGTGACTAAGCATTTATTTCTTCTGTTATATTAACTTGAATATGAAAATGGGAAAAAGAAAAGTGTTGTTTAAATATTTTAAAGACAGATTTTGAAGGTAAACAATTTGGGGATCAGGTTTCACATGAAGTTATGGCTAATATATACTTACATCAACCTGTAGTTATTTGTTAAGGGTCAGATAAAAGTCATTTTTCTCATTATTATGCTATGAAAGTTATATATATATATATATATGTTATTAAAATTTAAATAATAAAATCAGATGCAGATTTGTATTCTTATAGCCAATAGTGTGGGCTTTAAAGAATATTTAATTTTCACTTTATTTTTGACTTGAAAGTCAGAATTGAGACTTTTTATCTAATAATTAATAAAAAAACACTGAATTTATATTAATTCAAAAATGCTGAGCTATTAAGAAAGGATTTTAATTTTTTTTATTTAAAAACATTACATGTATTAATTCTTTTACTAAAAACCCTGATTTACAAAACATTTCTTTAAGAAGCCTTAGAATTAGAACTCTTAGAAAAGTGACTTTTCACCCCGTCCTACTTTCCATCTTTTACTTTCTTTACATTTACAGTATATTCTCTGCCCTGATTAAATTTAGACTTTAAAATAGCATCTGTTTAAAAAGCAGTCAAATTATTCCAAAAGTTTAAACTTTCTTTTATAATATATTTTGTTCACAAAATGACCGTAAATATTGTGCCCCTGGCAGTAAATCTGATTGTGGGGAAGGAGAGAGCGCCCCCTTTGGCGACTTTTCCTTTATAATACTATATCAAAAGAGTAAAGATATTTTAGGAAAACCCTTTAAAGATGATTTTCATTTCATTCCTTGATATCAAAGGACTTGTCACAGCAAAAGATATTCAGACATAAATGTCCTCAAATTCCCTGACCTCTGAATTTACAGAATGTGGACATCCCTAGTTGAGCGAATCAGTTAGTTTGACCACCTGCTGTATGAGCTGATTATGTGTGTAAATATACAATTAATATATTAAAAACAAAACTTCAAGCAGACCTAATATATCCAGCTGTGCTGGCTTTTGCAGCAAAATTGTCATAGTTTCAATCTGTGTCTCACATGACAACTGTGGTAGTTCTTTTTAAACAAAAATATCAATATCAAAAAGAGTCAAAAGCAGCAACGTACATCTGGGCAAATACAAGTATATTTTAGGAGGAGTTAACTCAAATATTTGGGGAATAGGCCTTTAAGAGACATATTCTAACATGTTGTTTACCCCACTTTGCCGTTTTGTTCATTATGTACAGACAGAACGTGACCAGAAGGCGGTTTCACTGAAGGAAAAACAAACAGAAGTTTTGGGAAATTAAAAAAAGACGATCAAATGTCAAAAAAGAGAAACAGGTCTGGCATCAGAAGCCGAGTGCAGACAGGAAAAATAAAACGCAAACGACGGCTCATAATCCACTGACTGCCTATGCCTATACTCCACCATGCACCATCACATTAGCTAGCAAGACTGTTGGAACTAAACTATAAGAAAAAAAACATTTTTAACACTGTGTTTCTCTTTACCCCACAATGAAGCCTTAGCAACTGTTGACTGGAAATATATGTCACACAGCTGTGACTGTGTGCACAGAGCAAAGCCAGACGCCATGATTAGTTAACAAAAAAAAAAACAGCTCTTACCTTTTTCAATGGAACGTGGTTAATTGTTCTTTCAAATCAGCCAAACGTCGGGCGTCAGAATCTCGGTGGATCTGTTTCTGGCCTCTTTGGTTCTATAAGATCGGAAAAAATTGGGATGGCGTTAAAAAAAAAAAAACCTTTTCCTTAATTCCCTCCTGAAACCCTAGTGCCAATGACTAAGACTTTTATTATTTTGATTGCACTTTTTGTGATCTGTTGTTTTTTCTTTTCTTTTTTTGTATTGCTGGCTGTATATTGTTGTGTTGGACCAATTTGTATTCTATGCATTAATGTCTGTGGAATTCTATGTTCCCTCTTGACAAATTGTTTAATCGAAAGAAGTGAAGAACTCCTGAGTTGTGAGAGGACAGGGTGTTGGTTTAGTCCTGGTGTTCTGTCAGGGAGCTGATATGACTGGATAGGAGAAGACGAAAATGTGCTGGGGAAAAGAGGTCTTTTACAAAATGTGTTCAATGTGATTGCTCCGGTCTTTTTTCACCTAGTAAAATCTTCACGCAACTAAAATATGAACGTGTTTATCGTCAGAACAACAGCGGTGAAGAAATGAATTTTTGAAGAACAACAATGGTCGGGCTCGACAATACCTAAAAGACAAATAGTTTCATTTGCAGACAAGGGCGGTAGGTTTGACACCGATGGATAAACAAGTTTAGTTCCTGAACATTCAAAGTCAGAGTTAAGATTTTTATGGTTTTGTCACAAAAATATCCATACCTAAATACCTAAATAATTGCACTCAAATGAAACAGGCTTTTGTCCAACTGTGCATCAAACAAGGAAACAGACTGTATGGAAAAGTCGATCTCAGTCCACACCACACCAACTCCACTCAGACAGACCTGAGCAGCTGTAAACATTATGTAGTAAAAAAAACAAAAAAACATACAGTACATGGTCATCATCTCTTTATTGACTTCTGATTTGTAAACCACTTCTGGTAGCTGCACGAGGGCTCTGTCCACTTCTTATATACAGTCCATGGTTTATCTATTTGCACTGACATTTTACCAAAAACAAAACCCAACAACGGCAGAGTATTTCTGGGTGGATTTTCACCTCCAGTGTCCAGACCAGTCTGTACAAAAAAGACAAGAGCCTGAGTGAAGCGGTAGTCGCCCTCTTACACCTTCAGCCTTCAGATGAACAGACAGTAATAACTAACCAATCACAGTGGAGAGTATTGGCTGAGGCAAAGGTAGGCATTTGTACTTACTGCTATGACCTGTGGGTAATGGTCTTTTCTAGAAAACAGCAGTGAAAATGCCACTGACTAAATTCCAGTTAAAAACTGTGGTAACTGTAAAATAATCAAAAAGCCTTGGTTTTCATTGTTGTGCAGCAGACAAACAAAGTTTTTTGTTATTTTAAGCGCTTCTTAAATATCAAAGTGTGAATTTAGTACATGTGACTTAGTAACTTCATTTTATTTTGTCCTTATGCTCAGCAGTAATTTTTCAATAGTTTGACTTGACTGTTGTTTCTCGTATCTGTATATTTTAAATAAATTAAAATAAATCAAACTGATTGACGTTTTAGCTGCTCCTGGCCGGATCTTTCTAATTAATGTGTTGGTTTTGTATTATTTGCTGAGATAAATAGCAGTTACAGCCTCCAGCTCTGAATATATCAACATATCAGTCACGGTGATGTCAGAATTTGGATCTTTATGTACAGAGTACATATCAACTTAGTAAATGCTGCAACATAGACGCCATAGATCGTATATAAGAAATGGAGGTAGCCTTCAGACTACCGTTCTAAGTAGGCAAAGAGAAAAAAAAATTGGTTTATTTTTTATATATGCTTAATGGTATGAACCTAGATTAGATAAATATATAAATATTTATGGTAAAATACCTAACAATATTCAGTTATAACTACTGTAGACGAAATGGAGACAGATATTGTAAAGATATTTAGCATATGAAGCTAAAAGTCAAATCAAATTCAAACACAGTATGACTATCCCTTTAGCGTAGGACTGTTTGGTTTTGGGGTTTGTTGGGGTTTTTTTTTCAAATATTAGGATGTAAATATGTATTTTGACATATTTTGTTTTGAAATTGATTAATTTATTTACTGCTTATATATTGTTGTTTCTATGTATTCTGATCATGTTTTACTAACCTTAAACAAATACGTGGGATATAACCTGTTTGTGCTTCTCTAATGTTAAGGCAGATCAGATACTGACCTTATTTCAGATTGTGTTCTTCTCATCATTTATATACATTTGGCTGCTTTTGGCTTCAGGTGGTGGCTTTTATGACAAACATGCTGTTGTTTTTTTGTTTTGTTTTAAATGGATACTCATTTTCATCGTACTAACTGATGATGTAACATGGTATGTGTTACTGTGTTGTACGCGTTGTGGTCACTGCTTGTGAGATGAGTTTATTCCCAAAGTTTGCGAATCATGACAAAAGGTTGGTCACAAACACCGTAATTTGATATTTCTTTCCTCTGTATGGCACATGTTGTTTCCTGTATGTCAGAACAGAAAAGTGGAATGATGCTAATCCCTGATGTTTCTCCAATGGGGTGAAAAGATTGTTTTGTCTGTTGAATTGAAGTTTCTTTTTTTTTCTTTTTTTAGAGCCACAAAGGTTCAGTATTAAATTCTAAACAGGTACAAAAATACAGTGAATAAAGTATTCTCACGTTAAAACAATGTGGTACACATACTACCAGACCACCTTGTCAACATAAAAAGTTAGCAGTAGACAACAAGCTAACTAGTAACGCTTAAACAAAATATTCTTATTTTCAAGTCAACTAATACTAGAAAAACAGGTACACATTATTTGTTGTTCTTATTCTTGCCATGCTAACTTGAGCTAGCCTTCTAAATCTGTTGGTGGCTAAGGAATTATCTTTGAGTGAATGTGCAGTTGTGATTAGCTGTTGTTTAGCCATTAATCTTGTGTATTTTTAACTGTAACAACAGATTTAGTTTATAAGATATTTAAGTATACTGTACATTTATGAATTCATGGAGGAATTCCTAATCGTAATGGTTTGTTTTTAAATTGTACTGTTTATGTATTTATCATACCAAACATAAATGTAAACAATACTTCTACTACCATACCACCTTGCCACCATCAAATAATATAGTACAAATCAACTCAACCTAACTAGTATTTGCTTAAGAAAATTTTATTTTCAAGTAAATCACTGTCAATAAAACAGGCACATCATGCCTTGTTCTAGTCATTTTGGTGCCATGCTAACGTGAGCTAGGTTATTAAATTTGGTAGAGGCTAAGCAAATTAGCCTAGAAATGTATATCTAGTTGCCAGTGTCTGTGTGGAACTAAAACAGCTTTAATTCATGAGTTTAATTGTGTGGAAAACTAATAATTGGCCTCTTTACAAATGTCCTTATTTTACTGGTTTGTTTGAAATTGTACTGTTTACATATTGAATATTGAACTTTTAGGCTCTGTGGAATTTGTAGTTTGTTTTTTTCTTTTAAACTACGTTAGTGAATGATTAATTGGGTAACAGATAAAGTGATTAAAAAGGAAATGTGAAAAATGACAAGTGCTGGACAAGAGTGTTGTAAGTAGTCTGTAAAATGTTGGACGTATTTGTGACAACATCAGGTAATATACCATCTGCAGATAGTTGGCGCTATTTGGAAAGTGACAGGCCTTGCACAAGACTGCTGGATGTTTGTTGATGTGAATTTTGAGAATCTGATCTGGTCGTTTCGACTTAAGTCTTGCAAGAGTCTGCAGCTTTGAACAATTTGAAGAAGACAGTGACAGTTCCTTAACCCTAGTGAACCTATGTACGTGTATTTATCAGGAGATTAAAAGCAAGCGTGTGTTTTTCTTTGGATTTTTTGGCAAATAAAGTTTACATTTCATGCACAAAAGTTCTCTGATTATTGAGATACAAACACGTCACTCACAAATCTGACTGCCTTTAGATGTATGTAAAACAATCTTTTCTCTCTGATGGAAGGTTTTTAGAGGCATTTTTGCCTTGCATGAAATATTTAAACATTTATTACTACCAATTAGGATAAACAGATAATAATCTGAGATTATTAAACACTAATCTGCTTGGAGGAAAGACATAATTATATAATGAGCATAGCAACTTTTCTATTCCTATGGAAGAAGAAAATCAGTTGTTAAAGTCACCAGTGACTAGATAAACTAAACAGACTACAGTAAATACAGATTTTCTCACAGTAACACACAACAAGTATTTGTGTAACAAAATGAAACAAAAAAACAAGTCTCAAGATAACCCCTGTAATCCAAACAAAAATATTTTAATTTCCATGTTTTAACATTTTTCCTACAAAAAAAGTTTTACCTCCAGACAAAAAAAGCAAACAAAAATGTGACTATGTCATGTACAGTTTGATGTCCGTTGTAGCCCACAGGTGAGAATTGCTAAAAATAAATTACCAGATGATCCTTGATTTAAATGTTTGAGATGAAGTTCATGCGTGGTGGATGGATATGAAGAAGTTTCAAAACTGTCAACTGTTCTGAACTCCTCAGTTAAGTTTAGCCATCAGGTCCTGCAGCTCTGGACGCTCTTTGAAACGAGCTTTGAAATCCTCCTCAGTGTGCTGAAGACGGGGGGAAATAAAGAGGTAAATATGAGGGCAGGGTAAAAATATAAAAAAATATGTATACACTTACATACCCACACAAAAAACATACATTCATTATTATGTATCATTGATGAATTACCACATGACATTTATTTGATTCAATGTATCTAGTACTGGTTATTTAGTTGATACTATCAAATATATTCAAATAAATTTAATAAGTGTCAAAATTGACAAAACATTGTCAATATCACAGGCCTGTGTCAAAATATTGAAATTGACAAAACAACTTATTTAAGAGCAAAATTATTTCAAATGCAGTTTGATTCTCCCACAATTAACAATGCAACATATGGAGAAATGATTAGCATTTAAAAAAAAAAAAAAGTATTAATAAATTCCAGCCAACGCACCTCTTTCACAGAGAGCTGAACTCCCTCAGGCAGATTCTTCAACAACACATCCATGAAGATGGGACAGAGTTCTGTGCTCAGACTACGCAACTTGAAACACAACAAACAAACAACATTGACATCATGGCAATAACTTAGAGGTAAAAAGATTAAATACAAGCCAAAATGAGAATGTAAAAATATACCTGCACGACTCTTCTATGCGTTTTTAAAACAGCATCGACTGACATTTTAGTGCCGTGCTTTGGCATCACCATCACCTCCGTTGTTTTGGTTGGTAAAGCGTAGCTGCAAAGATAAATGTACATTTATACCTCAGTTAAAAAAGAAACTCATTTAAATTTGTCGTAATATTTTTGTACAGAACCGCCTCACCATTCTTCCACTTTAATGTTGAGCCGGTTGCACATGTGGTGAATGTACTGTGAAAAACACTTCACCACGGTCATGTCATAACCTGACAAGGTGACGTTCAGTGTACCGTACACTGTCCCCGCCGATGGTACGACAGGCACCATCTGAAGGTGGTCTTTTTTTTTTCTTTGCTTCAATGAATGGACAAACAATCATGAATTGGGCCATTGTAATTGAAAGGCAATAAACAGCAGTTATAACAAATAAGGGTTAGTCGCAGCTCAGATGTGAAGGTTTTTTTTTTTAATTTTTAATGTTTTTGAGAATGTTAGTTCACTGACAAGACATTTTCTATAAATCAACTTTGTAATTTTCAGCCTTATCTTGATGTTTCCCAGACACTGAAACCTGTCAATCACACAGTCTTGCACCAAAATCCATTGAGATAATCAATTAATCAATCATTTAGGCCCACATGACAAAGGAATTTCACAGAGAATTTGCAAACCAACACATTTAGAAGTGTCAGTATCTTACCACTTTTTTCTCTAACAGATGCCTCCATCGGCCAATTCCATGGGTTGGCATTTTATAATATTGTCTTTCATTGGTGATGCCTGAGAAAACAATAGTTACGCAATTAAACAGACAACTTTACAGAAACCTAAATGTCATCTTTCAAGTCTTACCCCACACAGGATGCTGAATCGACGGCGTTGCCCTTTAAACACAACAGTTTTGAGCGATTAATTGGCTATTTTTTTAAATCATAAACACAAAAACACAACCTTGAACGTCACGTTTCTTTACTACTACATTGACTATTGTCTACAATGAGGTAAATGTGTTTCATTTTTCCACGTTTTAACACTTTATTTCCATTGTAACACATAGTAACACATTTCAAAACATCAGTATTTTTTATTTTTAACAATGTTAAATATCAAACACTCGATCACATTTTCAGCAATGTTACGATACTATAACACTTTAAAGGAAACTCACCTGTGTAACTGAATCATCTTGTTCAACAGAAACGCCTGCTGTGTGAGACTATCCCGCAGCTGAACAGAGATTTGTCAAATGTCAAATAAAACTGTCTTTCAGGTTCAGTCAAATTTAAACTTCATCATGATCATGTGGATCATGTGTGTGCGTCTGTCGCTGCTGTGTGACCTCTGTGAAACAAACACTAACATTTAGCATAGAAAAAAACAAAATTACCTTCTGAAAGATGACGTTCATTGTTAAAGCCACGTGTGTCTTTATATTTTCGAACAATATAAAACAATGGAGATTTTAGTGGGGAAAACTCGGGTTTTCACGCATAACTTACGGCATTGATTAAAACTAAACATGCAGCTGCGGCCGATGACAACACCGGAAGCGCTTACAGGAATTACCTCCGTGTCCGCTGGTAAAAACGGTACGGGTGGGAAAGGTTCCGAGACAAATTACAACGTCTTAACGTCGCTGGTGTGAACGTTACTGTGAAACGTATAAAAAGAAAAAAGAAAAAAAAAGAAGAAAAGACATTTATAAAATATACTATGTTGTTTAAAAATTATGTCTGATATTATACCATGTGATTCCCAAGTTTGTTGAAGGAAACAAATGTTCCGAGGACAAAAACTATAATTGCTTTTGTGTTTTCATTTTTTGAGCACTTTCTAAAATAAAATCCAACATTCTATTATGTAATACATTGTTGTATTCAGACGTTTTTAAGTATAATTTAAGCCGAGAATATATTCATAAATTTCCCGAATGTTTTAACCTTAAAATTCAAAATGAAAGTGTTAATTTACTGTTATCTTGCACTGTAATAGCATTACACTATACGCCACAAAACCAAGAAAATCAGAATAAATAGTGTATCAATACTATACGTCTTCTGCAGGGGGAGCCATCGCGTTGTCAAACACTGTTAAATATGTAAAGGACCCGAGTATCATATTAGGTCCAGTCATCCATCCATTTGCTACCGCTTATTCCTAAACAGTTAAAAAAAACCAGATAATTAATAAGCTGTAAAACAGAAAAAAGACAAGTAACAATACCACTGGCACAATTCAACAAGCTTTATTTTCATCCTCCTCATTTCAGATAACTGACTTACAGAAGCACTTACAGTATATCAAAATAAAACCCAGCGCTTAACATTCAAAGTCTTCAGGCTTATCTTAACTTTTTTTTATATTAAAGTGCAAAACTCCACATCACCTGAAACTGATATCGTAAGAATATACTATTGGAAGAGTGCATAGAAAGAGTCAACATTTGTATTAACTTGCTCTACAGCAGGATGAGTTATGGGAAGCAGCAGTCGACTCATGCCAAAGCAAACAAACTTCTAGAACTCGTCCATGCATTTTCAAAAACTCTTTGGCTTGCAATAATTAGCTCAAGCATTGATGAGGATACCACAACAAGAAAGACTCATTCAAGTCCTGTCGTCAATTCATTCTCTTGGAGGGAAAATTCAGCTCTTCACAGTGAGGTTACCATGAGACAGCATTTTTCCAAAGCTTGGTTCTGCCAGTGAATGCCATACTAATAGTAGTAAAGTCCTTCTAAATCTGGGAGATTTTCTTTGCAAAACAGTCACAGCCTGTTTACTACTGCAAGGGTGGTTGTGTGGTAAACACAAACAACTCACTTCCAACATCAATATAGCATTTGCATGTATTGCTGTTTCTGTACGCCACAACAGTGCATATGATCTCACTTTGTCGTTCATGTGATAAAATGCATCAGTTCCAGCCAAATGCAAACCCCACCCGATTGTTAATGTGGTGGTTTTTCTGTAGATAAATTGTCTGTAAAAACTTAAGCTGCTCAACCCTCACCATCACTCAGGTTTCATGTTGATTTTTAGACTTGATTTTTACAAAATTTGGCATTGATAATATTTAACAAAAGTGAATTAATACTGTTTTATTGAATTAATACAGAGTCCTGGTTTGATCTTGTCTTGAGCTAAATATTTGACTTTTGATTGCAGGGATTTTGGAATGTTTGGAAACTCATATGCTGTAATTCTATCTAGCTTAAACAATTGATTTTATAAATGGACTTTGGTGGATGGCATTAAGATAAGCAAACTCCAGCAATCAGTCTGGAAACAAACATTTTGAACAGGGACCTTAGTTGGAGGTAGCTGAGCCTTTTCTTTCAGAAGCTTAAGCTTGAAATCCCCAGTTCAAAAATATAAACCTCCTGATCAAGAGAACTGAACAATCCCTGTCAGTTCACAGTTAGTTCGTTAGTTCTTACTAACAAACGCAACTTCTATAAGTACTGTAAACTAAGTGAGCTCACATTTTCACTCATGTTTTCCCAGAGTGGTAGAAAGTCCAGTGTGCACAGTTTGTGATAAAACGTGACATTTGTTTTCACATTCTGTCATCACACATTCACATTGGTCGCCTGTAGGTAAATATCTCAGCAGATAAAGCACCATATTATTTTCAGCAGGTGAAGCTTAAGACTCTGAGTCTATGGTTCATGTACAGTATGAATCCAGCCGACGTGGGTCGTGTGTTCTATGCTGGATGTTACACGTTCAAGGAGCAGATGGATGCAGCTGTTAATGCAGCGTTGGGTTTCAAAGGGCTCCAAAAGGTGTGAAAAAAATAGCATGTAAACCCATCATTAAAGGACCTCCACTTCCTCCTCCTCTTCCTCCTCCTCCTCATCATCATCTTCTTCTTCTTCTTCCTCTACACTTTCTTCTTCCTCCCCTTCCTCCTCCTCTCCGGGGCTGTAGAGGTCAGCGGCCAGCTCAACGGGGTTGTGTGATTCGTCCTCATCCTCCTCTTCGTCCTCCTCCTCTTCCCCATCGCTCCTTAATTCATCCTCGCTGCTGTCACTGAAATCATCGTCTTCATCCTCCTCCTCATCATCTTCCACAGCCTCTTCCTCGTTTTCCTCATGGTCCTCATCCTCATCAGAATCTGAAAGATAATTTGAAGGCTCAACGAAATTTATTTTTTTGCATGCAAAAAGGGCATTTCTATAACAATAGGAAACATTAGCTTTGTGTGTTGAATGTGTAAGGTGATCCTGGTGAAAATAAAGGTGACAACAAAGAAGAAGCCAAAGAGCAACAAAGAAAAGGTGATAAAAGATAAGATGAAAAAGGTGATGAAGGAAAGGAATGATAAGAATTTGAAGCTAATGAAAAATATGAGAAAAGATATGGAGAAGAATCAGTTCTTCATTCTTCTTTGACTAAAATGGAACATCTATGGTACAGGTAGTGGTCCATTCCAGATTACTGATGATGGTAGTGATACGCACACATGCTGCTGAAGGCTGTTACAATGTGACACGGCAGATCCACATCCAGAAATTTCCTCATTTCTTCCTCCATCTGGGCCACGAGGACCTCCGTCTCCATGTCCACGTACTCCGGGTAGAACATGTTCTTCCTCAGCTGCCTGCGGCACCTAGAAAACACACCCACACAGACATATACGTACGTAACTGTAAACACACTAGGTTTTGTGAGCACTTCACACACACACACACACAATGTTTTACCTCACACCTTACCTTGACCTAAACTATTACAAATACAGAATCTTATCTTAATCCTTGCAAATTCTAATCCTAGCTCCAATCACAATCTGGAACCACAAAACACCCTTTTCCTTGAGTGGGGAGCTGAACAATATCCCCACAAAGAACATTTGTCCCACGAACAAATGTAGTTTGTTGAATGTTAATGTTTCTAAAAATGGGCCAAGAACAAACACACTCACACACTGTACCTCCTACAAAAACAGCTTTTCTTTTTAACAAAGGGAATGAAATGAGAAATCAGTGCAATTTTACAACCATAAACTGGCAGAAATGAAGAAAAAATTTAAACTGAACATGTATTTGCCTTCCTACAGTGTGTCCCACTGCAAAAGCCCCAAGTCAATAGGAGGGAATGGCCCAACGGTTGGGGAAGCACCACTTCAGTGGATGCTCCTTTTATAGCAAATGTTTTGTCACAGAAATGGTAACTGAAGTTGTTAGTGTACATTCTAACAACATGCTTATTGGTAAATAAAAGAAAAATGAACAAATGCTTTTAAATAAGGACTGAGATGCCATCATACAGTTGCAGACATTTACTGTAAAGTCACATACAGTACAGTAGGCTGTTTTATCTGTGTTTTCGGAAAATAGGAACACCATGAGACATTTAATAGATAAATAAATGTGTGCTGAAGAAGAAGAAACAGAAGATGGACACTTACTCTTTTTGTCTTGTACACCTGCAATAAAAAGGAGGACAACAAATGTTCACACTGAAGCTTTGAACCTAAACTAAATAATTATGTTTACTCACAGTATGGCAGACATGTACATGTACAGCGTGTCCTATATTTGTGTACTTTCTTAGTGTCAGACTGAGGAAATTGTATTGACACTGATTATACAAAAATGCTTTCTGTTTAAAGAAGTTATTTAAATGAAAAAACAAAACAACAACTTTAAGCCTCATTCCTATTCTGAACGTCAGGCCTCACCTCGATGAATAAAAAAGGGTCGTTTTCCTGCATAAGGCTTTCGATGCCGCAGCGAGCTTCTTGCAGACGGGCCCGGTCCTGGCAGATCCTGGAGATGTTCTTCTGAATGGCCTGACCGTTGGTGTCCGAGTGGGCATGTGTGCACTGTTGCAGCCGGGTGACAAAGCTCTGCACTTTGACCCTCAATTCATCTCCCAGTCTGTTCAGGCACTGCTCCGACTCATCCATGAACGCCTGGAAGAGGAGAGTGAACAAGAACAGAACAAAGGCAACAATGGATCTTTTTTGTTCACATTTACATTTAGGTTAAAATTGGTTTCAAGTTTTATTGTTTTAGTCACGGATGGACGGACAGACAGGTAGACAGACAGATTTTTAGGAAATTTAGGCACAAACAGCATTTACCTTGTTCTGTCTCTCCTTCTCCCTCTGCTCCTGCAGTTTCTTATCAGCCATACTGCACTTCCTGTCAACTCTGTACAGCTGCTTGTCCAGTTTCCCCTGTGTGAACATGAGCAGAGCCAAACATTTTAGTTTTTTGGTAGAGGGCACCGTGTGGAATGGCCAGAGTTTGTCAAAGTAAATCAAAACACTGACTTTAAAATAAAGAAAATAATGTATTTTGTTACATAGATCTAAAATCCTTCCCAACACAAGGCTAGCTGTCTCTCTCAGGAGTTTAACCAGTTGGTCATGTGACTTATTGATTCCCACACAGCTACACAACAATACACACAATTCATCAGGCTTCCAGACACATCACAGGACTTTTGTGTGAGAAATAACAATAATACCAGAACCAGAGAATGTGTATATTCAAACCCTGACACAATATTTTACTGTAGGATCCAAGTTGTATAACAAGATGATAGATGATGAAGATGATGATGTTAAAAAAAAGAAAACTCAGTAGCCAATGAGGTGTAGCAGTTTCATTGGTTAGCCACCAGGGGCTACCCAAAGAAGTAGAAGAAGAACAGGGAGGAGAGGAGAAGAAAAAGGGAGTGAGAAAATAAAAAGAAACGATGGAAAATAATACAAAAACGAGAAGAACCATATCATCACCTGATGACCTCCAGATATAGCTCCAGACCCCTGATTCTCATAAGGTTTAGGTATGAATGGGGGGAGCTGGTGGAGGGGGTTAAGTCAGAAATACCTTGAGATCCTTCATTGTGTTCTTTAGAGTCTTTATTGTGTGCCCTGCGTGTTCTCCTTCTATCGTGCAGGCAGTGCAGACACAGGCCTTGTCGTCCATGCAGTAATACCTAAAAAAACAAAGTGAGGAGAAATCACAACGGAAACATGGAACAACAGAAGATCACTGTACGGGTTTGATTGGTATCCTACCTACCTGTAGATTTCATCATGCGCTGGACACTTCCTCCTCCAGAAATCATTAATCGGATCAGTCAGTGGGTGCTCACAGAATGCCGGCAGTTCCAGATGTGGCTTTATGTGCTCCTGACACATGGACACTTCACACTTTAGGCACGTCTTCACCGCAAATGTGGTCGGTGGAGCAGCAGCTACTCCATCACCTGCTCCTTGTAAAGCAGAAGCAGCAGGGGGTATGTCCTGAGCAGCGCCCCCACCTGAGGCCTTGGAGCCAACAGATGGACAGTAGTCACAAGGAACAGCAGTAACACCCCTGGAGGAATGTGACCCAGCCAACGCCAGAAGTGAATCTCTGGGCATTAGGGCTGTCGCTCTGGCAGGAGCAGAGCTGGGCGTCCTGCGTCTCTGCCGGTAGTCGTCAGCAATATTGGCCAGTTTAAAATTTTTCTGGAAGCTAGTGGTGCTACGATGGCTATTGCGACACTCTGGGCATCGCAGGCGTCCACGCTCTGCCTGCTGTTTCAAGTGATGAAGGCAAGATTTGCAAAAGTTGTGGCCACAAGGGAGCAGGTGTGGGTCACGGAAGAGGTCCAGACAAACTGGGCAGGTGAGCTCCTGCAAGACACAGGCTTCCAAATTGGCTGAGGCCATGTTAGCATTAGCAAAACAAAAATTAAGATAAAGTCGTAGTGGAAGTTGTTGGATGGAAAAATTAGGACGTGGACTCCACGAGTCGTTGTCAGCCTTCAGGAAGAAAAGAAAGAGAAAAAAAAAACAACAACAAATGAACAAATTAATTTCAACTGAATTACTAATATCTAATAAAACTTGTTCAAAAACAAAGTTTAGCTTTTTGTCACTGTTTTAAGCTTTCTTTTCTTTTTTTTTTGAAGTTGTACTGTATTTTAAATACTAAATTTTCGGCTATTTACTCTTTTGACTTCATTTATGTTTGTACACATCTAACTATTCTTGCTATGTCTTTGGTTACCAGACACCATTCATGAGTAACTTTTGTTGAGAAAATATTTATCAGCTGAAAATTAACAAATGATCTTAATCTGATTAAACTTTACTGTATCTCTGGCAAACTGTCCTTTCAGTTTTATGTCAACAATGAATATTATAATGAAGATATTTTAGCTAACTTCTGGTGTCCATAAAACAATTTTCGTATTGTTCGTTAGTCTTCGTTTTTTTAAACTCCTTTCTGTGAGTGCTATTTTTTGCTTAAATGTTCACTATGTTTCACCTGTATTTCGGCTAACCATTGGCTATCTTGCAGGTTAACTTAATTGTTTTTTAAAAACTTTCACAACGTGGCTTTTATCTCTGCCAAACAGCGACATTTGAGCTACTTCCTCTGTAAATCGTTGTCAGGTGGAAGAAATGAAAGTAAAACGACTAACTTAAGTCTTAACACCCGAAACAGCTAATTTTATACAGTCTTCTTACAACGTGCCTCGCTTTATTGATATTTCCAGAATTCTCGGACACTTTATCTTTTCCCTAGAGATAAACTGAGAACAGAGGTGATATAAGTCATTAGGACTTACCTCGCATTTCAGTCAAATAAACGCTTGACTGAAGTCTAAACAGGAAGCCAAGAATGTAACGTCTGAAAATCTCAGTGCACCTGTCCGTCTGCGGCTAACGACCAGCAGCTTAGCTGCGTTAGCTCTACATACACACAAGCACACATAAACACAGGAAGCTTCACAAGTCCCAGAACAAACGCTTTAGCCAGCGGACCCTTATTTGTCAGTTCCTCATCTGGTGTTTTCGACATTTAGCTTTTAAATAATGCATGAGCAGAGAACAGACACACAACAATCTCTCTCGCTCTATGACAGATAAACGGTAGGTGGATGCGGGGAATATGCTTCCTTTACGGAACCTGGGAAATTCTGCCGCACTTTCTTTGATGTGGCCTCCAACTTTCGCCCTTCCAGAAAATATGAAAATATCCCAGAAGTGCTTTAATACGGAGCCGTAAGATCATATTTTTTAATACTTTAATTTACCTTAAGTGAAAGTGATCAGAATACAGTATTTGATTTTATTTGTGATATTTTCTGTGACATAGCAGGTCATTTTCTGACTCTCTCTCATTATATATTAAATCTGTAATACAGATTACAGATGTGAGTGACTCCCAGTCATTCATACAGATCAGTGACTCCAGGTCATTCATACAGATTCTGTATGAATAACTGGGAGTCACTCACATCTATTCTCGCATTATTCATATTGTTTTGGTGTTGTAATGGTGCTGCTGGAGCCTTAATTCCCCAAAGGGAATTCCCAAGGGAATAAAAAAAGTTCTAAAGCTCTATTTATGTACCAAATGTGAAAATGACCAATCATATTAAAGCTCTGTGTCTATTTGATCTTAGCATAAACCAGGCATGGCCAACCTGTGGCTCGGGAGCTACATGCGGCTCTTTGCCCGGTTTCATGCGACTCTTACTTTGATGTGGAATTTTATGTTTGTGTTTGTGGGGTTTTTTTAACACTATGTGAATCTCATGCTGATGGGCATTGATGCAAATTACTTAGGGAAAACCCGATTCGCACAGATGAAAAGATGTACGCAGGAAGTTTTAAAAGAACTTTAAAAAAAGAAGAAGGAAATCTTTGGTTATTATCAAAAACACAATATTACTCATTTCAGACCAACTATTAGGTCTTTTAACATTTGTATACACCATTGTTCGCAGAAAGAACGATTGTCAAAAAAAAGTAATAAAAAAGTTGCAATCAAACTTGATATATACAAGCTTGACTTGTTGTCGTCTTTGTTTATGACCTACTGATTACTGCTTTATTGTACTAACCTTCAAGAACAGTACACAGTTATGGGTGTTTGTGATCGATAAAAACACAAAACTATGTGTGTCTCTTGAATGATTGCTTACCTTAATGAACCAGCAGCAATGGCATACACAGGTCATGTAGAATTATATTCAGTTGTGGATTCCTGTTATTACATGCAAAAAAGAGGATACAATAATTGGAGAAAACGAAACTGTTAGTTATGCAGAGCATTTAATAAGAAATGAAAGTCAGTGTCTTACTGGAAACAAGTACTTTAATTTATTGAAACATTAACTGACATTCTGTAACACAAAGGTTTTCATTTTTTTGCATTTTATCTTTAATTAGTTTTACTGCCCTGTAGCGAGTCTCGCACAGATGAATATTCAGTGTTAAAATGTGTTTTTAAAAAAAGAAAAAAAAGACGTCTGCCTTGCTGAACACACTAGTGTTGAAACACAAACTAGTCACCTCGATTTGCACTTTGAACAAACCACTATACAATTCCAGAGGCCAAAATTACCCGTAGGGAATACATAAATATTTTAGTTTTCATAACACTTTCGCGTTCTGTTTCTTTAAGAATGTTTACAAAACCAATGGGTTCGTCGAGGAATGAACAAGGTATATAAAAAATAAATAAATAAAAATCACATGGCCGACTTCCGTCTGTAAACTCTCTCTGTTGTTTCTTCCGCTCAAATTCTATCTGTACTGTTTAAGCTATGACTCGTAGTTTTCCAGTTGATAGTTACATATACTTACGTTTAAAACTAGTGCTAGTAAGTTATCGTATTTTTTTAAAGAACTTGTGTTTATAAGTGGCCACCAGATCATTGGACAGTGTGCCTGACAGACACATCACTGGGCACAAAGTAAAATCTCGGTTTGTTTACGTAGTTGTAGGCAGCTCGAGTTTGTTTCGGGTTTATGGCCTTTACTAGCCAGTTAGCACTGTAAGGTGCTAATCAGAGGACAGTGGGGAGTCAAAATTAGGTAAAAAAAACCCAAAACTTTTCTTCAGTCCTTATAAGCATTTATTTTAACTTAAAATGGCGGAACTTCCAGTGAAGAAGACAAACTGGTTGATATGATTGTTTATGTTGTTCGTTCTGATATCACGAGTGTTTGGTATTCAACAAAGTTGGCTAACAAAAATCAAGCCGCAGTAACGTAACTTTGTTGTTATATCCATGTCTTATATATGATACAGGTTTCCTTTTATGCGTAATATTTACCATAAAAAACACTCTCCTCGACTGTCGTTTTTTGGAATCCCTTTTATTTAATTCCAAGATGTAGGTTCCTGTGGCTACAGAGCCGAACAACATAACAGCGTTAGACAGCTAGTTTTTTTCTCTCTCAGGGCAAACACGTTTGTTAGTTTACTATTTTGTTATTACGGTTACTGTGGTTTAGAATTTACAGTAGTAGTTCTCAAAGTACGGTACAGTCACCAGTTGTGGAATTTGGGATTTCGTTAACGTTAGTAGCTACATAAAATGCAAAGCTGATAACTCTGCCGTCAGCCTATTAAAAGGCTGAGACTGGAGGGGTCAAAGGTGAATCAGTTGAACTGATCACAAGTGTCCGTGGTTTCAAAATTGAATTTACAAATTGAATTTACGTTTAAATGCCAGTTGGTCTACTGCTTTATTGCACAGTCTGGCTTTGACAAACAGACTAATAATCCTATGGGAAAAATCGACTTTTATATGTGCTCAGTTGAACAAGTAAGACCTGTGTTATAGTATTTTAATGATGGTCGTTCTGCAGATACTGAGAGGGACCCAATAGTTTGGGAGGTACGAGATATAAAAAGAACCACACATCTTACCACAAGACTTGAGTGTGAACGTGTGCAGAAGATTTCAGCAAGGTCTGAAAAATTATCATTAAAAGTCTTTAATAATATAAATATTTAACTCATTAGGTAATTAAATAAAACAAACAATACTTTGCTTATGTTTGGGGAGAAAATGGAGGGGATCTCTAACACAAGGAACATAATCACTACGGTAAAACCACATTCACCCGTTTAACCGTTTGTTTTAAATATATAACTAAAAACACACACACACAATAACAGCAGTCTGCAGGCCAGACAAAAGAAGATTATTTAAAACATGTCAGTTTTACTCTTCAACAGAAGAGTTAGAACTATGTTTTTGTTGCTGCAGTCATTGATTGATTAATTAATTTTTATTTTTTAGTTGAGAATCAGAGAATGTCAGGTGAAATACTGTGCATATGTATCATACTTTTCCAGGGAAATGAAGAGAGTAAATAGTTATATTTACTCTCTTCATGAACTAGTTATGTACTTTAATCTTTTGTTACATCTTGGTCCTTTGATATGTACTCATGTCATTCTGTCAGAATAGAAACCTTTTCTCTCTGAATTATTAAAACGTAAGAATTTGTGCTCATGCAGAGTTAAAACAGGTTTGTATTTTAGCTGCTCTTGGAGGTATTTTGATGGCCACTTTTAGTGAATGTTTGGCTAACGATTAGCCTCAATTTTAGCTGCGGGTTTGTTCATTTGTTGTATAGTTGTAGCAGTTTATGAACCAACACCAGGTTGTTGTGACAACCTGGTGTTGTTTTTTGCTGTGCGTAATGACATTTTTTGGCTAACTCCCTTTTCTAGCTTCCTTAACTTTATGTTGAACACATGAAAGCCTTCACCATATGTAAACCAAGGGCACTCTACTCACATTACTGGTTTTTACCAGTAATGTGTTACCCAGTTTAAGGTCAAGAGTCTTAAGAGCTTTTTGGCTGGACTTACGTTTTAAGTTTACATTTCTCTCTACTGTAGATCACTGGCCTAGGTATGCATTAAGGCAACAATGGAGACCACAGACCACGCCACAGAGGGAGACCCCCTAAAGAGGGGAGAGGATGGGTTGGAGACTGTGGCAGCACCATCAGGAGCAGAGCAGAAGATGAAGAAGAAAAAGAGTTGTAAAGAGATCTTGGCTTTTGTCAGAGCGAACCACTGGAGGACTGCAGTCTTCTTCTTTTCGCTGTTCCTCTGCCTCACCATAGTGTTTGCCTTCTCCTTCATCCTGCCTTGTCCTGTTCGACCACAGTACCTAATCTCCTGGAACAGGAGCTTCTCCCATGCAGGTTTGTTCAACAGTTTCACCATTGAATGCTGGCTTTTTTTTTCTTTCAGTAACTTTTACTTTTCTGCTACAGAAACCTATGACTTTTTAGCTGTTGAATCTGCAAGTGAAGACCAGGTGATGGATGTCACATTTGTTGTCAAAATGAGTGAATCCTCTAAAAACTGCACTGATGAAGGTATGAAGCAAGAACCCAGGGAGGACTTGATTCTCAACGGTAGTTTAAGTGTAGTTCTGATGATGGTGGCTGTTGTGTCTGTCCAGGTCTGCCTTCACCTTGTCTGTTTGTGATTGCGGTGGATGGGACAGATGGCGAGACATTGTGGGAGCGTCCACTGCGGCCTGAGTTCCACTGGGCTCAGTGTGGTCTGCAGACCTCAGAATCCAGCAGAACCTGGGACTGTCTGCTCTCACATTCTGACCAAATCTCTGCTCTTGACAAAAAAACTGGTTGGTGATTTCATCACATGCCCAAGTCTGACCTTTTATCTTTACTTCGGACGTTTTACACAATAGTTTGTATCACCTTAAATCTTCTGTTAGACAAATCTGCTAATTTTATATAAATCCAGACAATTATATTCAGTGATAAAGGGCACAGTCAACAACAGGTGGATGAACAAGTCCTGTGGCAAAACATAAAATTGTTGGTTTTCTCTATGGACTTTGGTAAATATTTTATAATTAAAAATCAAATAAATTCTCAATTTTTCTGTTGGAAAACTAGAAGAGAGTACTTTTTGTCTGGTGACCAGTTTATGCTTTTTTACCATAATGTTTTGAGCCTCAAACATTGAAAGAAAGTTGAATGCTTTTCATCTGCGTTGGTGGCTGAGGCGTGGATTAAAAGAGTTAAGGAAAATTAGTAACTGGACTTTGAGTGAGGAATAAAGAGTTGAAATTTGACTCATCAGAGTTTCTGTGCACAGGTGAAATCAAGTGGCAGTGTCCACATCCTCCCGGTTTTCGGAGCGTTCGGCCTGTTCTCAGCACCCCAGACCTGGACGGAGATGCAGTCGGGGATGTTGCTCTGGTCAGAACGAACAATGCAACGGTAAACATCTCAGTTCTGAAGCTTGAGGTTTGAAGTTGTTTTTGCTGTTGAAGTTTTTGCAGAACATCATTCTCCTGACATTTCTGCAGACTCAGCTGGTGTTCCTCTCAGGGAAGAATGGCATCCAGATCGGTTCCAGTGTGTCACTCAGTACCTCAGGGACACAGAAACATCTCCTTCAACGCACTCCAAAAAGTTCTCGTTATGTGGTGCTCCAACAAGGTGGGTGTCTGAGACATGGAAGGCTCTCTGACTTAAATGTATACCGAGCTCATGTTGTGTTACAATCCTCATTCATTTGAACTTTTGTTGGTCAGACACTGGCTTGTATGGACTGGCGCTGAGGAGGATTGCTGCCAAGGCCAAAGCAGGGATGGAGAAAGTCCTCAGGCAAGATGATCGCTGGGAGAAAAACGCCAACCCCACATCTGGACTCATTCCCATCTACAAGTAGGAGAAAGCCTCTCAGATTTTCCTAACTACCTGAAGGCTGCCTTCTGATTCCAAGACCTTAACATTTGTCTCCACCTGGTAGGTCTGACTCTGTAAGACAGCTGCTGAGGACAAAAGAAAAAGACGATCAGTCCAACCTGCTGCTTGTGACTGAGAATCATGTGGTGTTAATTGATGGGAAAACTCTGCAGCTCTTGTGGAAATACAATACCACCACAGTCCTCAGGTACCCCTAGGTGGCAGTAGAGCTGTTGTAAAAAATATCCTACTGAATAGAAAGGTTATCATTCAAAATCCATCTTCTTCTTCCCAGTGAACCTTACTTTGGTCACTTCAACAAAGACGGTTTACTGGACGTGGTGATCGAGGAGGACGTTGGCAACAACAACAAAAGGGTAGGTGGAGATGAAAACGCTCAATAGCTGTCTTATATCGCCGATTAATGATCAATGCTCTTATTCTTCATGTAGATAGTAATTATTGATGGGAAATCCGGCCTGTTGCTGTGGGAATACACACTTTTGGCTGCATCGAACTCTCCCCGTCCTGCCACCATTCACACCTCCAACTTTGTCTCAATCTTTGTTTTCTGGGGAACAGAGATCCCAGCGGCTGCCACCACTGTAAGATCAGTTCTTCTCAGGAATGACTGTATGACTCATTGACTACTGATGTTTAACTCCAGCCCTTTTTTATTATAGATTCCTGCAATCAGTCAACGACATTCCTTCATGCTGCACCCAGTGTATCCTCAGGTTCTTCTGAAGTCTACAAATGTCGTGGACCACATTGTAGCATTTACAGGTATTTTGATGTTCAATATACTGTACATGTATGCATGTACAATGTTTTGGTGATTGTCTGGCAGCCCACCACAAGGTCACCTCAGTTACTAAACTTCAT